CCGCCCGCACCCCGCACCCCCAGTCAGAAAACGGGCATCCGCTTCTTTATTTTTTTTTTCTGGTTGCGCAGCCTTACTGCGCTTGCTAAGTACAGGCTTAGGGCGCCCAAATCAGCCGAGAAACTTCGACTTTGGGGGGGGGGCGGTCGGGGGGGAAGGGTGGGGGATGGGGATCTTCAGGGGGGTGGGGGAAGGGATGTGTCGGGAAAGGCTTAGGGCGCCAAAAAAAAATTGGGGTCACCTATTCCTCATTGAATTTAGATTTTTCTTTTTCTGAATGCACCCTAGCCGAGAGTATGCAGGGCTTGGGACATTCGTCAATTTTCATACGAGAGAGGAGCAGGCCAGCAATATATCTTCTGGATCCGAAGTCGGGTCTGTGTTCCAGGAGTTATGGGCTGCAGCTACTTACCACCGTAGCTCTCTCTTTTTTTTTTTTTTTTTTCTTTTGCTACGAGTAGTGGCCCTAAGGGCCTGGCTCCACTCGTCACCACTTGCACAAAAGACAAAACATATGGCAGCGTATGATTCCATGTTCTACCAGAAGATTCATTCGAGTTTTGCACACTTCTTTTTTTTTTGTTTTCCCTTTCCTACGAGCAGTGGCCCTAAGGGCCTGGCTACCACTTGCACAAAGACAAACAGTGTATGATTCCATGTTCTAGCAGAAGATTCGTCGAGTTTTGCACACTTCTTTTTTTTGTTGTTGTTTTTTTTCTGCTCCACTCTCCACCACTTGCACAAAAGACAAAACATATGGCAGTGTATGGTTCCATGTTCTAGCTGAAGATTCATTCGAGGTGTTTCACATTTGGTGAGTAGTGGAGGGAAGCCCTGAAAATCACGTGGTGAGTTGGCCTGCTACTGCCCAGATAATCACGTTCAGTGGTCCCATAACTGCTGAAACAAGGACCTCAATGCAAATCTATACCATATATAGTTGGAGTGCTACTACACTGCAACATGGTCTAGAGCTGCCTCTTTCTCAGCCAATGACCCCGGCCCCGCACCTCTCTGGTGTGCTGCAAGAGGTTCTGAACCAAAAAAAAAAAAAAAAAGGAAAAAAAAAAAAATTTACGGGGTGTTGAGTCTGTCGAGCCCACCCCCTCCCCCGGCCTCGCCCCACCCCGCACCCCAGCCCCTGCCCCGACCCCGCACCCCCGCCCCCGCAGCCAGTCAACCCCGGCCCCGAACCCCGCTGGCCCCCGGCCCCGGTCCCTCGCCCGCACTACCCCGGCCTCACAAGGGGGGGGTGTAGCCCCGGTGGGGCCCCAAGGTCGGGCCAAAACTGCAATATTGCAGTTTGGCCCAGGGGGTGCAGGCTGTGGCTGCGCACCCCCTTGTTTTTTTTTTTTTTTTTTCTTTTTTTTTTTTTACCCTTTTTTTGTCGGGGCCAGGGGTGCCGACCCCCGCCGGGGCCCCGGGGCCGGGGCTCGACAACCCTGGCAGCCAGCCTGGCGATGGCTGCCCTGCACCCTCTTCCCAGCAGCTCCCTCACACCACATTGTGCCCATGTGTGCCCTTCTGCCCGACTGCCTAGTGGCCTGCAATAACCCGCTCAAATATGCCTATGTCGTTGTCTAAGGGCCACCTGCAGGCCACAACATGGCCCTCAGGCCCTACATCCTACTAAGGGCAACAAACCTGTGAAATGTGGCTTCAGAGGCCCTGCGCCCGACAGTTGACCGAAGCCAATTGCCTGTCGGAATATTGAGGCCCATGAGTCAAAGTCTACACCGACCCAGTCCAGGCCACTGATCAGACACACACTTGGTTGTGCGCAGGTATCCAGACAGCATTCTGTCCAAGTGGAAGTCTGCAACTGTACGAGATTCAGGGCGTCGACTGTGAGTCAATCTGAGCCTCCGTGGGTGAGAGACCAGAGGCTGGTCAACGCCGTCAACACTACTTATTGACCCAGCCCCTGGGAGTCAACATTTAGTCTTGCCTTGCTGACTTGCTGTTGGCTTGACGCTGGCTAGACGCTGGCTTGACGCTGGCGAGGCACTGGCTCTACGCTGGCATTGTGCGACGACGACGCGAGACTGCTGCATTCACGTGCTGGCGCCTCTCTGCTCCTGGCGCCAACTGTCTTCATGCTTGCTGACGTCGCATTTGCCACACTGTCTTCTACATTGCTGACGTGGCGCATGCCACACTGTCTTCGATACTGATTGAGATGCGACAAGGAGGGAGATCGGGATCTGTGGGATTGATTGAGAGAGGGAGGGGACTTACCAGTTGTTGTTGTCGACACTATGTGCTGCAGAGACGTCTTCATGGGAGAACCATGCCTACGTGGCACTTCGTTGTGATCAGATCTCGTCAGGCTCATTTCTGGGACACTGTTTGATGACGTGGAGGGCCGGAGATGCCCAAAGAAGGAGTGGGGATTGAGGGTTTTCTATCTACGTGGACATTGATGGATACTTTCTCTTCCACCTCCTAAGTCTAACCTCCTCCTCTACTCCTTCGTCCTCTGGTTACGAGACATTGTATCACAGATCACATTTCACGATCATTGGGAACATTTATCAGCATTGAGTTATCTTGTATTTCAACACTTGACGAGTTTCCTCCAGACTGGGTTCATTACAATTTGGTATCGGAGCGTACCTTCTTCGTTGCGATCTGCTGTTGCGCGTTCTGATGCGTCAGGTAAGTAAGGGAGGTGCCTCGCGATAACTGAATCACTTCTATAGATGCACGTGATTATAATCCCGATCTAGACATTGATGCGCGCGCGCGCACCTACCCGCTGAAGAAGATGACAAGGACTTGAAGACGGTGACATTGCTGACATGGTGCTTTGTTGCTGACGTGGCAATCGGCTGCCGGCGAGAGCATCGTTGGCTCCGGCGTTGATGTGGCGCTGGACGATCGGGAGAAAGAGAGAGAGAGAGTGGGAGAAAGGGACCGCTGACGTGGCATTGGAGCGCTGCCTACGTGGCAAGGCGCGAGGGTGCTGATGTGGCATCCAGTGGTTGGCAGGGTATTGTCTGATGTGGCACGTACCTGTGTTGCGACCTACCTGCTGATGTGGCGCTCCATACTCCAGCAGATCTTCGATCTGGCATGGCACACCAGTGGCAAATGAGCTGGCGGATGGTACATCGCTGACGTGGCACCACACTTGCAGGCCTTGCTGGCCATTGACGTTGATGTGGCAAACTCCGTGGAGGTGCTGCGTTGGCATACCAGGGGTGTGGCATGAATTGTGCACTGCCATTGGTGAGAGATTGATACTCGCACTTGTGTGTGCTGGCGGGCGGTACAGCATCACGGAAAGGCTGTAGTGCCACTCATCGGCCCTTGTGCCTGGCTGCACTGGCATTCGCAGAAGGACAGTCGA